TTTCCCACTCCTGCTCCTCCTCCTCCTCCCCCTCCTCCCCCTCCTCCTCCCTCTCCTCCTCGGGCGCAGTGTCGGGTCCAGATTCGACGAAGAAGTATCTGCGGAGAGGATCGGATACTGATGATCGAATAACGAAGATGAGCGGAAACTGAGACACCGGATAACGGAGATAATGTTGATGATCGAATAACGAGGATGATCGACGAAGAGAATCGCATAATGACAAGTGTAATACTCTACTGAGAATCGCAAAGCGAAGACGAAGCTACTGAGAATCATGGAAGAAACGAAGATCATACGAATGATCGAATCCACGAAGATGAACGAAGAAGAACCTTGGACGAAGCTTCCCCTCCTCGCTCCCCGTGGTCGAAGGAGCACTCAACGCCACAGACATATCTAATTGGCATGCCGCGCAGGTCTCTCGGACCCTCGCGGGCCCCCCCCCCGCGCCAGGGGCGCGGCGCCGAGTCCGCCGCGCGCCGCGCGCCAGGGAGAGGGGGGTCCAACGCGGATCCAAGAGATCCTCGCGGAGCGCCAGAAGTTTTCGTTTGTGCCGTCTTTCCATCTCTACAGTGGTTATGGAGGGGCTCCGCGTTCCTTACGTGTTTCGCAGCTTGCCTCAGGTTTTCCTTATGTTTTCGATAGGAAATCGAAGTTTAACTTATGGAAAACAGGGGCCTCGTTCCTTATTTAGGGTTCCTTAGCTCAACGCCCCGACTGTACATCATCCCTTCTCTTCTCTCCCTCCAGCTCTCCTTTTCCTTCCCGCCCATGCCAGGAATAAGTGGGAGGCACGTTCTCTGCACTGCCGCCGAAGGGAAAGCTTTAGCCACAAGCGTTGAGGATCCCGTAAGCATGATTCCCCTCCTCCCCCTTGCCTTCAGAAGTGGGGCCGGACAAAATCGCCCATCATAATGCATGCCAATGTTAATAACGTGGTGTGGAGGTGGGAATGCTGTTGTTCTTAGTTGGGGGGTTGTTGTTGTTGTTGTTGTTGTTGTTGTTGTTGTTGTTGTTGTTGCAACGTGTTTCCCTTCAACCGTTCGAAAGCTCGCGTCTGTGTCTTCGGCGGTAACAGTGGCCCGTTGTAAATCGCCCGCGCACGCAATCCTACATCGGACAACGAAACAACTGCGGGTGGAATGCATGGCGACGATGATGCATTCGGCATCGTTGCAATATTTGTTTATTGTGCGTTGGTTGTGGGGAAAAGTGTCCTTGCTAAGAGATTGATCGGTTCTTACTGCGAAGTCCGCTTTTCCTCAATACGTGATCGGCGTGTTCAGTTCCTGCGAAGTGGTCGGTTTCTGACACGAATTGAATGGTCTTTTGCATGCAGTCGCTTTTTTGCTTGAGGCGGTTGTGTTGGCCAGCGGATTCATACTTTCGGGGAAGGGGCAGCGTCGCCGTCCCTCTTGGGAAACAGAACTTCGCGTGCGCCGTCGGTGCTTTCTCGGTCGGCATTGCTTCACCAGCGCCGCTCGCTGGAGGCGTAGGCGGAGGCGGAGGCGGAGGCGGAGGCGGAGGCGGCGGCGACGGAGGCGGAGGCGGAGGCGGAGGCGGAGGCGGAGGCGGAGGAGGAGGAGGAGGAGGAGGCGGAGGAGGAGGCGGAGGAGGAGGAGGAGGAGGAGGAGGAGGAGGAGGAGGAGAAGGGGGATCGTTACTGAGGACGACGACGACGATGACGACGACGACGACGACGTTACTGCTTCACGAGCGCCGCTCGGCCTCGAAAGCGGGGGCGGGGGCCGCTCGAGGCCCCCCGCCGCTCCGCCCCCCCCTCGCCATGGGGCATGGCACCAGGACTGGCGGGCCAACGTTCGCGGGGTCAGCCCATGGGCTCGGGGGCGTCAAGGCGTGTGCCATGAAATCTCCCCAGATTCCATGGCCCCCTCTGCGTCTTTAAAGACGTCCCCTGCATGCTCCGCGCCCCCACCCTCTTGGACGCTCCCCTCCTGGACGCTCCCGACCCAGGCCCCCCCCCCACTGCTGCTCGTTGTGGCAAAAATCATGGCGCCAGGTTTTCGGTCATCTTCGGCCTCCAGGTGCATTCAGCAGGCCCCAGGACTTGTAGAGTCAACGACCCGGGATGAAAAGCCGGTCCTCGGTAAGGGGGCCAGATCTCTGGGGGTCCATGTTGTGAGGGAATCGCAGCGTCGGAGTGCGGGGGGTCCAGCCCAGAGGGGGGGAGCCTGGGGAGGCAGAGACAGGCAGAGCGTTCCAGGACGCTCTCACAGAGAACTCGCGGAGCGTTCTGGACCCCCTGCGGCGCCCGAGGAGGAGGAGGAGGAGGAGGAGCAGCAGGAAGAGGAAAATCAGGAGGAGGAGCAGCAGCAGCAGGAGTAGGAGGAGGAGGAGGAGGAGGAGGAGGAGGAGGAGGAGGAGGAGGAGGAGGAGGAGGAGGAGGAGGAGGAGGGGGAGGAGGAGGAGGAGAGGGAGCCTGGGAGGGGAGAGTCGCGCAGAGCGTCCCAGTAAGCTCTCAGGGAGCTTGCGGAGCGTTCTGGAAGCCGCTGCGGCGCCCGATGCGTCCTCCAGCCCCGCCGCTTCTCAGGGAGGAGGAGGAGGAGGAGGAGGAGGAGGAGGAGGAGGAGGAGGAGGAGGAGGAGGAGGAGGAGGAGGAGGAGGCCTTCTCCATCCTCTGTTATCCCCCGTCCTGCTTGTGGCAGTGGTGGTGGGCAATTGGCCCATCATTTGCTCCTCTGCGGCTGCGTCGGCAAGAGGGCCCTCACCGTGTGTGGGGGGCCCGGCGGCCGATCGTGGGCCCCGGGCCCGCTGCTGGGCGCTGCCGGGGCCCTCTGGCCTGCTCCGCGGTGCAGGCTTGCGGTCGGGTGCGTCCCCCTACTGGAGGAAAGTTCAATAATAGCGGCACAAGTAGTCAGGGGACGATTTTTCGACTGCGTTTGACAATTTTTGGATATCGTTTGGCTGTTGTGCAGTTTTCTTCCAACATCCGCCTGTAGGATGGCATGGTCGACCTAAGCAGGCTCCATCATGCATGATTGCATCGCAGTGCTCCTCCACGGATGGGTCGGTGATGTTGCATCTTCGGATGACCCCGCGTGTCCCCACCAGTTGTGCTTGTTCTCTTGCCCGGCGTGGGATCGATGCGGACTCGGCGCGGATTCGGCGTGAATCCGACGCGGATTCGACACGGCTTCGATACGGATCTGGCGAGTCCGACCTAGATTCGACACGGTTTCGACGCGGGTAGGGCCGCGGCGGGACAGATAAGGGCCCCCGGAGGATGCAGCATGTTGTCGGCCTGAAATGTGCCGTGGTACACCTGTGGCTTTTTGATGGCTCAGTGGAGCCGCCGCTCCATGCGACATGGCCGTGCAGCCTTGTGTTGCCCGAGTTTCCGCCCGCAGTCGAATTTCATGCTGTCCGCCCCCCTCTTCTCCCTCCATCAACAAGCAAACGTCGGCAAGGAATGCCCGCACCCGGCGGGCAGCTGGGGGGGAGGGAAGTGGGCAGGGGCGTGCCTTCTCAGAAGGCTCGCAAGTACCCCGGCCTCCTGAGGAGCTCTCTGAGCCCTCCTGCAAGGACACAGACAAAAACCTCTCAAAGAAGGCGCGGGGGCTTCTGGGAAGCCCCGCCACCTCCTGAGAATCGCCGACCGCGTTCCACTACTCGCAAAGTGCCTACTCGCAAACGTCCAAAAAAACACATCTCCGCTTCGATGTAATTTATCGTAGACCCCCCGCGGCGGACCCAGGCCATTGGCGAGTAGTTACTTGGCGAGTAGTGGAACGCGCTCGTCCAGAGAAGGCCCCCTCCTTCTCGCTTCCCCCACCCCGCTCGCCGCCGACGCCCCCCCCTCGCCGCACGTGCGCGCGGCGCCGCGCTCCCCGTCCGCAGGATGCGCCGCTCCTCCGTGGACGCCGCCGCGGGCGCGGCGGCTCGCGGCCTGGCGCCGCCGGGCCGCCGCTCGCCCTTCGAGTCGAGCTTGGCCGTGGGGGCGCGGTGGGCCGCGCCGCGCCTCTGCGGGCTGGACGCCGTGCGCCGCGCCCTGGAGGCCCGGGGGCGCCCCGCGCGGCGGCGGCGGCGGCGGCGGCGTCGACGGCCACGACGGCGGTGGCTGCGCCGACGGCGACGACGGCGACGACGGCTGCGCCGGCGGCGACGACGGCGACGACGGCGACGACGGCGACGACGGCGACGACGACGACGGCGACGGCGACGGCGACGGCGACGGCGGCTGCGCCGACGGGGCCGACGACGATGGCTGCGCCGACGGCGACGACGGCGTCGGCGACGGAGGCGGCGGCGGCGGCACACGGCGGCTGCGAAGTCCAGTCGGTGGTTCAAGGATCGGGTCCTGGGGCATGGGGTCCTGAGGACGACGACAGCGGCGACGACGGCGACGGCGACGGCCACGACGACAGCGACGACGACGACGGCGACGCCGACGACGACGACGGCGACGACGACGACGACGACGGCGACGACGACGGCGACTGCGACGACGACGACGGCGACGGCGACGGCCACGACGACAGCGACGACGACGACGGCGACGCCGACGACGACGACGGCGACGACGACGACGACGACGGCGACGCGACGGCGACTGCGACGTCGATGGCGATGGCGGCGGCGACGTCGGCGGCGACGATGAAGGCGACGACGGCGGCGGCGACGACGAATGCGACGACGGCGACGACGACCTCGGCGACGCCGACGACGACGACGTCGACGACGACGGCGACGACGACGACGGCGACGGCGACTGCGACGTCGATGGCGATGGCGGCGGCGACGTCGGCGGCGACGATGAAGGCGACGACGGCGGCGGCGACGACGAATGCGACGACGGCGACGACGACCTCGGCGACGCCGACGACGACGACGTCGACGACGACGGCGACGACGACGACGGCGACGGCGACTGCGACGTCGATGGCGATGGCGGCGGCGACGTCGGCGGCGACGATGAAGGCGACGACGGCGGCGGCGACGACGACGGCGACGACGACGAAGGCGACGACGGCGACGACGACGGCGACGGCGACGATGAGGACGACGAAGGCGGCGGCGGCGGCACGGCGGAGGCTAAGTCCATGCGGTGATTCAAGGATCGGGTCCTGAGGCATGGGGCTCTGAGGACGAGCTGCTCCAAATATTGAGTCGGGCATGTCCATCTACAGGGGCAAATCCCAAACATAGTAAATATAGTCTGTCTGTTTTACAGGAAAATGCAAACCAATATATATTTTTGGGCAATTTATAATACTATTTACAACATCCGCTGGTAGGAGAACATGCCCGACCTAATTCGAATAATGTAAGACCACCCGCATCGCTTTGGAACCCACCTTTGAGCCATCGATCCAAATGGAATAAGTCCATACGCAGTTCTCGGATTACTCCGAGAGTAAGCCATCACAAAGTAGGTCCAGACGGAGTGAGTCCATCGTCTCCATCTTGGATTTCTCCGTCTTGACTCAGCCTCTCTTGGTTTCTTCGTCTTGACTTAGCCTCTCCTGGTTGGAGGCTGAGTCCAGACGGAGTAGGTCCATACGGAGTGCTCGGTCTCCGTCTGGGCTTACGCCGTATGGATTTAGCCTCTCCTAACTCTGCCGCGGGGACGTCCTGCCGCGGGGGGGTCGTCGTCGTTGCCGCCGACGCCGCCTACGTTATTGCGGGCGGCGGTCGTGGTCGCGGTCGTGGTGGCGGTGGTGGCGGTGGTGATGGTGGTGGTCGTCTTCGTCCTCGTCGGGGCCCCTAGTCCCCGGGTCTAGCCCTCCCATATGGGGTCGAAGCAGATTGGGTCGGAGGATCGCGCCACATCGCGGATGCATCGGGGGAGGTCCGAGTCGCCGAAAAGTCGGAGTACGTGGGGAGGGGTCATGTCCGTGGGGCTTGGACATTTTCGAGGGGGGATCGAGAAGGCTCCGAAAGGGGCGGGGTGGTCTGGGAATTCAGTGGAAACCCAAACCAAGAAACGCCCTGCTCGCCTCCAGGGTGCCCTTGGTTTCTTGGGTCTCGATGGTTCTGCTATGGAAAGCGTGACGCTCCCACACCAAGAGTCAAGAGGGACGTCCTGGGGTCTCAGCGTTGGGTTTCTTGTGGTCGTGCTCCTAATGTACGGGGAGGGTGAGGTTTTCTCAGCATGATGGGCCCGTACAGCTTTCGCTCACCGCTCTGGGGGCTGCTCCGAAGCCATCGGTCGCCGACAGCTCTTCGAGGTCGGGAAGGCGGAGTGGCAGCCCATGCTACGGAGAATGGCCAGAAGCGTAGAGGTGGCCAGAGCAAGGCCAGCGCTTTTGGGGGTGTGAGGTTGAGGCTTGGAGGAGCCTCGCGTACCCTCGGCTTCACGGGGGCGAGCTTGCGATTTGGAGGAGCCTTCTGTCTGAGAGGAAGTTCTGCCCCGGCATGGGCCCCCCGTGCCCCCCAGGGGGTCTCTCCTGGGGATTCCCGAGGTCTGCGCTTCCCGGAGGCCTCGGGGGGCCCAGGGACGACCAGACGTCCACAGACGTCCAGGGGCAGCATCGGAGACCTCCTGCTGCCTCCCTCCCTCCCTCGCTCCCTCCATCCCTTGTCCTCATACATGCACGGGCGCCCCCGAGGGCGCGACGTAATGTTCCCTCTCTCCCTCCCTCCCTCCCTCCCTCCCTCCCTCCCTCCCTCGTCCTCATGCATGCAGGGGCGCCCCCCGAGGGCGCGAAGCTGCATTCGCGCTTTGCGGTTCTGCCTGGGCTCCTCCCTCATCCCTCGCTTCTCCCCCCTGTCGGGGGCGGCAAAGAGGGGGGTGATGACTAGGGGGGGTGGATATCATGGCGGGGGCCATGATATTTCCCCAGATTTCATGGCGCCTCTTCTTGTTTCATTACGTCCCTGGCCCCCCCGCTGGGCCGTGCACATGCCGCCGGTCATGATTTGCACCCCCCCCTCTTGGACACCCCCCTCTTGGCCGCTCCCGACCCTGGGGGGTGGCTCGAGAGCGCGAAGTGGCTCGCGCTTCGCGCATCGCCCGGTGCGGAGCGCGAAGTTCGGCGCCCCTGTAAACGTTTCCTCCCTGCCGTACCCCCAGACGTGCCGGTAGGTCGGGCTGGGCGCTTCGTCTGAGCTCTCCTCTCCGCTCATGGTCCTGAAGCCTGAACTTCGCAACAGTTTCAAGGATGGATGGCGGCCCGTTTTCAACATGCGGCTCTCGCCTTGCGCGCCGCGCACATCCGTCGATTCGTTTCACGAGCTTGCCGCAGTTTCAAGGATGGAGGGAGGCTCCTTTCCGTAATGTGGCCCCCGTCATCGCGCCGCGTGCAGTCGTCTTCTTGACAGTTTGCAGTCGTGTCACGAGTTCGCATGGTGGAAGTCTCAGGGCTTGTCTTCTGGAGCGACGTAGGATTGTCACGACGCAGCAGTCACTTCCTGTTCGCGGTCTTGACGTTCCAGGGGTCCTGGCGCGCTTTAGCACTGCCATTGACGCAGCCGTCCTGTTGATCCACGGCGCTGACGTCCCAGGAATGGCTCTCCGGTACGACGGACGGTTCTCAGACGGTGTTCTTCGCCCGGGTGCTGCAGGGATCTCTGCAGAGGAAACTTGGAGGGCGAGTCGATGGCGACATCGTTGATGAATGTGTGGTTCGTGCTGGTCCTCCTCCCTCCCTCGTCGTCCAACCACCAGGTTGTGGCAGCTCGGGCTTCTCCGCGAGCTGCCCGCAGTCTGCAGCCTGTCGTCGATCACCACCATCGTCCCAATATATATATATATGTATATATATGTATATATATATATATATATATATTCAGGAAGTTGTCCTTTCTATGGCGAGCTTGGCGACCTCCTTCCCTCCTCCCAGGCTTTGGCGATCTCGTGGGCCGTTGTCGTTTCGATTTCGTGTTGCGGCGAAGGAGGCAGGTCAGTAAGGAGCCAGGCGCCTCGACTGCGCATCACCAGAAGTGGTGCTGTGCAGATGTGCATTGGAAGGGTGGTGAACACATCGATCGGCTGCGACTCTCTGCCAGCAGTGCTGCTGCGAGACCGCGGGAGGTCAGGGAATACGAGGGATCACGAAAACACAAAACGAGGGACAACGCAAACACACCACGAAAACGGAAAGCACTGTAGAGGACGATCCCTTCCTCCCTCCTTCCCCCCTTCTCGAGGGAGGGAGGGGGGGACGGATCGACCGAAACAGGGCTTCCCTCCTCCTCGATCCTCGATCTCTCTCTCCTCCTCCTCCTCCTCCTCCTCCTCCTCCTCCTCCTCCTCCTCCTCCTCCTCCTCCTCCTCCTCCTCCTCGATCCCTCCCTCCCTCCCTTCCTCCCTGCCTCCCTCTGCTCCTCCTCCTTCTCCTCCTTCTCCTCCTCCTCGATCCCTCCCTCCCTCCCTCCATCCCTCTCTCCCTCCCTCCCCTGCCGGGCTGGCCCCCGACCTCCCCCCCGGGCCGAGCCCGCGAGGGCGACGTCCTCGCCCAGCAGCGGAAGTACGCCGGCCTGGAGCCGCAGCTGCAGACGGCCCGCTTCCACGTGGCGCTGCCGAGGAATGCGACGGTCAGATCGAGCAGTGGCAAGGCGTCCCAGCTTGCCCAGAGGCACACCAGGAAATGTTCCAAGAACCTTTTGAGGTCTGCGCGGCATGTTCTTAGGACATCCATCTATGGCTGAGACTGTCTTGTTTTAGCACGTCGGGTCTGTGTTCTAAGCACATTGTTTGGTCTTATTAGAACATTTCTGGCTTCTAAGAACATGTCGTGATTGGCCTACAGGGATGCTGGGACGGTGCCCTGCTCAATCAGAGGAGGAACATCGCAGGCGATTGTCTCCCCCTACACCTGAGTTCTCGACGAAAAAGGAAACCGCTCAGAAAAAAAAGAGGGACACCCTGGGATACACCCAAGGTGGGCTATTCGGACGCACCCCCATCGAGGATAGACGCTCTCCCATCGTATATCCCAGGGTTGGGCCCCAATTTTTTGGTCCAGTCGACGACCTCCCAAAGGCTGGGATAGGGGACGATATACCCCCTGTTAGAAGACGCACCCATGCTGCTGCCCCCCCCTCGCTTTCTTCTCTTTTTGGGGCCTCCTTGGAGGCCCTCGTCGCCACCGCTGGATTCGCCTCGAACTTCTGGCCAGTGCGCACCCCAGAAGGGGTCCGTGGAGTACAGTCGGGGCCCTGAAGAAGGAACCCTTTTCGTTGGGGAGGGGCTCCGCGTTCCTTAAATGCTTCGCAGCTTGCCTCAGGTTTTCCTTCTGCTTTCGATCGGAAATCGAAGTTTAACTTATGGAAAAAAGGGGGCTCGTTCCTTATTTTGGGTTCCTTAGGTCAAGGCCCCGACTGTGGCGGTATCGGTACCTTCCCGTATCCCCAAAACAAGTGACGGGGAGCTCTCTAGTGGACCGCGGCAGGGAGACAGGGCCGAGTTTATGTCCCCCGCCAGCAGTGCGTGCCCTCGGGCCTTCGTGCTTCCCGTCAGTCAGAGCCGGAACGAACACAGAAACGCAAAGGGTCTTGTTGGTTTTACGCGGGAAGGGGGCGACGTTGACAGGGTGCCTGGCACGGGTGCGGAGATCGGGGTGGCGTCGGCGTTTGGAGCTGGCGGTTTGCGCGGCAAGTGCGTTTAGCTGGCCGCATTTGTTTGGGGTGCGTGACGGGCGGAAAGGCCGCTCACCAGCAACTGGCAGTCCTCCGCCCGCGTGCCGGAACAGATCGTCGCGCGCTCGCAACGGGGTGTGGGAAAGGGTGTGGGTAATAGAGCACGAGTCTCCTTCCCGAGAAGTCCCTTGAATAGGCAGCAACTAGCTATTTTCCATTTTTTTATTCATATGCCGCGCGGCCAACCGGACGAACAAACAACTGTCTCGGCGCGCAGCGTTGGCCTCGCTTGCGTGCATCCTGGCTTCGTTTTGTTGCACTCCTCGTCTTTTTTCGTTTGTTTCTGCTTCGCCTTGTCCCGCCCCCCCTTCCTTTCCAGCTCGGAGCTGTCACCGCAATTCCTTTGTGTGCCACGAAATCTAGTGTAATTCCTCTGTGTGCGGTCTGGTTACATTGCCAACGCGGGGGGCACACGAAGGAATTCCCTTTGTGTGCGATCGTTTTCGCTGGCCCCACAAGAGCACGCGCGATTCCTTTGTGTAGGGCTTGTTTGCCCGCCTTGAGGAGCGTACGGGGCCCGGTGCTACAAGCGCGAGGCCGCGGCGCCTGGCAGTGCGATGCAGCTGCAGAAATCGCGCTGGCAGCTGGCCAGCCACATCGCTGGCCCCGCATGCCCGCGCGACGTGTGCTGCTGTCAACGGATGAACAAACTGACGTTGCATGGTGGCTTGGTTGTGCCAGACCACCATGTAACGTCTGTTTGTAACAGAGCTTGGGATCTTGTCGCCGCCGACAGCGCTGCCACACCATACCTTTCAACTGCATCTTGGAGCAGGGCCGTGCATCACCCCTGGTTTGGATCGCCAGGGATCCACTGGCATGGGTGCACATGCGTTGCCTCGTTGGTGGTGCCAAAACCCTTTGTGTGAAATTCCTTTGTGTGCTTTTTTTTTGGCTCGTAGTCAGGGCTGGAACTAAACGGTGTTTTGGCGATTTCGTGGGCCGTTTTCGTTTCGACTTCGATTTGCGGTAGAGGTGGATTGAAAACAAAACGAGGGAACACGAAAACAATATGAAAACGAAAAACACCGTTTAGGTGCATCCCTGCTTCCCGACCTTCGCTCAGGAGCTGGGCGGGTTGGCCAACGATTCGCCAGGCGCCCGCGACGTGGGCGCCTCGTGTGGGCGCCTCGTGGGCGCTTCGTGCGCAGGGGCGACCGCGTAGCTCGACGTCGTCGTCGTCGTCGTCGTCGTCGTCGTCGGCCGCCGGGGCGTCGGCCTCGTCGGCCTCGTCGGCCTCGTTGTCGTCGGCCTCGTCGTCTCCGCCAGGGCCGGGCAGCCCCGGCCAGGGCGCACAGCGGCCCTTCGCTCAGGCGTCGGGCGGGTCGTCCAGGGAGTCGCCCGGTGCCCGCGAAGGCGCGGGCGCCGCCGCGGGCGCCCGAGGCCTCGCCGAGGAGCCCTTTCGTGGAGCACCGCCAGTGGGCGCCTCGTGGCCGCCCCGTGCGCCGGGTGGGTCAAGCGTTGAGTCGGGCTCCTTCTGCAGGAAATTGTTTTTGTTTGGGGTCCGGCGATAGCCCGGGGTATATCGGGCTTGCCTTCCCCCCCCCCAAGGATAACCAAACGTTGCTGGTTGTGCAGGTCCGCGGGAGGGGGGGCGCGGGCATATGCAGGGCTGCCCACAGCGCGAAGGTTAGGTTATCGGCCGGCCCTTCTTCCCCCCCGGGATAACCCGGGCTCTTACAGAAGGAGTATTAAAAAATGGTCGAACAAATCGTCAGGTGATGTTTTTCGAAGTTTTTTGTGTCATCTTTGATTTTTTCAACAGAAAAAACCAAATATTTCGTCCACGATCCGCCTGTAGGGGGACGCGCCCGACCTGAGTCAAGCGACCCAGACCCCTCCGACGCCATGTTTTTTTCATAGGCGTCGGCCCTCAAGGGTCGGTCACGACCCTCGGGGTTTTCGGTTGTCAGAGGTTTTTTTGCAGCCCGAGCTGCTTTCTGGCAGCCCCGAAGCCCGGCGAGGGCCCCTGGAGGCCGAAACTGCGGGTGTTGCTAGAAGCGCCCCTGGCCCAAGGCAGCCCTAGGATCCTCAGGGTAACCCAGACGGCCTCCAGGGCCCCCCCCACGGGGGCTCCAAAACGGAGCGAACAGCCGGGGGCACATTGGGCCAGGGGCACTTCTAGCAACACCGGGAACCTATGGGAAAACCCTCCCGTCGATTTTTCCGTTTTTTTTGTTTTCTTATGTTTTTTGTTGTTGTTGTTGTTCTTCCATGGCGCGGGGAAAATGCTAACCGTCGTTTTTGTTCCCCCCTTCCCCCCCTCCCACAGCGCGGGGAAAATAATAACCGTCGTTTTTTTTGTTTGTTTTTTTCTTCACCCCCACAGCGCGAGGAGCTCTGGGGTGGGCGCCTCCCGCGCGCCTCCTGGGCGCCCCGTGCGCTGGCTGTGGGCCGAGCGAGGCTCCGCCCGGAGGCCCGCCCCGTGAGCGCCCCGTGAGCGCCCCGTGGGCGTCTCGCGCGCAGGGGCGGCGGCGCAGCTCGCCGCCGTCGTCGTCCTCCTCGTCGTCCTCGTCGTCCTCGTCGTCCTCGCCGTCGTCCTCGTCGTCCTGGTCGTCCTCGTCGTCCTCGTCGTCGTCGCCGTCGCCCTCGTCGCCCTCGTCGCCCTCGTCGCCCTCGTCGTCGTCGTCGTCGTCGTCGTCGTCCTCGTCGTCGTCGTCGTCCTCGTCCTCGTCGTCGTCGTCGTCGTCGTCGTCGTCGTCGTCGTGAGCCCGAGCGGCCTGGTGGCCACTCTCTCGGGCGCCCCTATGGGCCTCTGGCGGGGCCGCCCTGTGGGCCCGTCCGGCTCGGGGGCCTCGGGACGGATCGGCGGCGGGCGAGGGGGGGGGCCATCTCGAGGTTCGAGCTTCGAGGCTCTGGGGTTGCCGCCGTTTTCGTGACGTCTTGGTGCTTATCCGCCCTCGGGAGGCGTTCAAGCGGCTGCGCCTCGCCGAGAGTGCTCCTGGGAGGCCCGGATCGTCCCGAGAGGCCGCCGGATACCCGAGTTACGACCCGAAAATTGATTTTCGGCGGCGAGCGAGGGGGGGAAGTGCGAAGGAGAAGGCTTTCTCAGAATGGCGGCGGGGCTTCTCAGAAGCTCTCGCGCCTGCTGAGAAGTTGTCTGCGTCTTCCGGGCAGGCTCAGGAGACTTCTCGGAAGGCATTGGGACTTCCGAGCCCTCTGAGAAGGCCTTCTCCTTCTCACTCCCCCCCCTCGCTCGCCGCCGAATTGAGGTCGTCCTGCCACATGTCGCCTGGCGCTTGCAGTTTTTCTCACAGCGGGCGTTCTCGCCCAGTTTCGGGTCCCTGAGCCCTCCAGATGGGGTCCAGAGCCTTGGCGTGATTTTTCATATTTGTTTCGTAACGTCGGATCTCAGGGGGAACGCCCGACGGCACCCGACGGCCGAGTAGGGGCGCGTTCCAGGAAGCCTGTCCGCAAGTCTGCGTCTATCCTCCCCCTCCTTCACCTCATCATCATCATCGTCATTGTCACAAGCACCATCACTATCATCACTTGCACCACCGTCATCAGCATCAGCATCATCATCATCAGCATCATCATTATCCGTATGGTCATCGGCATCACCAGCATCATCATTATCGTCAGCAGCAACAGCATCATCATCACCATCACCATCACCATCACCATCCACGTCACCATCACCGTCACCATCACCATCACCACCGTCAACATCACCATCACCACCACCAACGCCACCACCACCACCATCATCACCATCATCATCATCATCATCATCATCATCATCATCATCATCATCATCAACATCATCATCATCATCATCATCATCATCCTGCTCATCATCATCATCACCATCATCGTCATCATCATCATCACCAACATCAGCATCATCAGCATCAGCATCATCATCATGCTCATCATCATCAGCAGCATCATCATCATCATTATCATCATCAGCAGCATCAGCATCAGCATCAGCATCATCATCAGCATCGTTATCATCATCATTGTCATCATCATTATCATCATTACCAGAAGCGACGCTCGCCATGGTCGCCCGACTGATTGGCGCCTGTCGGCGGTGGCCACCCTCTTCTGTTCTTCCTTCCTACTCGGTCGGTGGGGATGTCGTCCAGATCTCGTCGGATTTGGTCGACATCTGGTCGGATCCTGGACGAAGCGGTGGACGACACCTGGACGCAAAGGGTGCAGAGGAGTGGCCGAAGTCTGGAGGAACTCTGGGCGGAAGGGCCGTGGAGGCTCAACTGAAGAGGCTCCCAGGAACGCCCACCCCGTGAAGGCTGTGGTCCCCTGCTGGAACAGGCCTGTGGGCTCCGCACCCCCTGAGCCGCTCACCCCCGCTCCTCCTCCTCCTCCTCCTCCTCCTCCTCCTCCTCCTCCTCCTCCTCCTCCTCCTCTTCCTCCTGGGGGTGGAACGTCTCGAGAGGGGGGGAAGGTGCAGAGGTCGGGCCAGCAGGACCCCCCCCTTCCGGGGAGGAGAAGCCACCCGGACCGGACCATTGGCGTTCACCAAACGGCCCTTGGGGCATTCACGAAGCAGCCCTGCCCTGTCGGACTCCTCCTCTGGGCGCGTCTACCCAGCCGGCTTCGCGTGTCGAGGTGGCCATTCTCGGGGTGGGTGTTCTGCCCTCTGCCCCGCCCCCTCGCGCGGCCCCCCCGCGCCGGGAGGAGCCCGCAGCACTCCAAGTTCAGCTGGCGTGCCCGCCGGGGCAGCGCGCCGCAGGGCGCCTCGCGGGTGGCGCCGCTTCGGAGCGGCGACGACTCCACCGCCACGCCGGACCGGGGGGGGGGGGGGGCGGGGCCGGAAGCTCGGGGGGTCGGGCGTTCGTAGACGGATCGGCGGGTCGGGCGTTGTCCCAAGGGTGGGTCGGTGAACATACCCAGACCCCCCCGCGTTGTGAAAACGTCGCGACGGGAGGTTCTCCTAAGTTTCGGCTTCCGGGGGCCCTTCCCGGGCCCCGGGACCGTCGAAAAACGGCTCAGGATGAGCAACCGGTCCAGGGGAATGGGTCCAGACCTCTGGGGGTCGACGTTGTGGAAACATCACGACGTCGGGGGTCCGGGTACCCAGCTGAATCTTCGCACCAGGTTCTTGCACGGGCCGCTCTGACAGATCTTCCTCTCACGTCGCCTCTGCCCGGCCCAGGGCCCGGCGAGGGCGGGAGGGCTTCGGGAGCGTCGAGAAACGACTCAGTGTGGGAAGCCGGTCTGGGGAAGGGGTCCATGACCTCGGGGGTTGGGGCCCAAGACTAAGACCCATGACCCGTTCGCCGCAGTGTTTGTTTTCCATGGCTTGCCTCCTCGCGCCGGGGGTTTCTGCTCACCCACCAGCTTGGAGGTTCAGCCGATTCGGCGGACCTCTCCTGCGCGTTCGTTGATCTGCGTTTCTTGAGGTGTTTTGCTCGGTCTGCTGTTTGTTTGTATTTTTTGTTTGTTTTTTAATGCGGCGATGTTTGTGCTTCCAGCAGGCGCGAAGGGCAGATTCAGTTCGAGCCTGGCGTTCTTCTCCTTGCTCGACGTCCTCGCTTGTGGGCGACGCCCTACAGTCGGCCCGGATTAGTAGGTCGACCCTGCCAAATCAAGGGTGCCTTCGCGTCTTGTGTCTGGCGACCCATTCCTCTTACATTCCTGTGGCACCGTGGCCCTCGGAATGGTCTTGTGTCCTCTCGCTTGTCCTGTCCAATCGAGTCCGACTATAAGTTATACCCTTAGCCTTCCCCCCGGCCCTTTTTTTGTCAGGGCGCGGGCGCCACCATGCTGGATGGGCGTTCGAGCAGTCGCCGCTGCCCCCTAGTTAAGTCGGAAACTGGGGCATATACATTACCAGTGGCGGGCTGGTTTTCAATCCCAGGACTTTTTGAGGGTGGGGAACGACGTCGAGGTAGTGTGGTGTATACTTGTTTCCTTGTTTCCCCGGGGAAACAGCGAAAAATGTATACACCAGGACCCCGTATACACCATGATTCGTTGTCCTGTGAAAGTGTCAATGCAGGGCCGGAAAGAGCGTCGGTGTATAGAGTTTGTTTCCTTACTAAGGCCTCGTTCAGAGTACCCGTTTCTAGCCCATGGTTGGCCCGACAAGGGAGCTCGTCGAGACTTCTGAAACACGAAATCCCCTCATTTGGGTTGTCCGGGCCCCTTGAACATAGGGAATCTTTTGTTCTGCGCGGGGTCCGGGCCACGCCCGCCTGCCGGGCGACTACGGTTTGGGGTCGGGGGCGGAGGACGTGGGAGAGTTGAACGGGGCGGTGTACGTAGCCATTTTGGCTCAAGGGTTCAAGCTGCCACGGTTTCGCGTAGGTGGACATCACGTAGTTGCAATGTCTGCTGTGTCTTTTGGCCGACGCAGGGCTAACACAGTCGGCGGATCGTCAACACAAAGCAGGAAGGGCGGTTTGCAGGCGTTGCTCGAAGAAGAGGCGGAACGAGAACGTTGGGCTGCCGAGCGTGAGGTTGCTGCCGGCGAGCCAGTGCGACGTGCTGGTGCTGGCGAGCGCCCTCGCATCTATCTGGATGTCGCTGTTTTTCGTGGATCATTTTTCGGCGTTGAGTACCAAGACGTTCTGGAATTCGAGCTAACGCCCGAAGCAGCTCCAGGTGCCGCACAGCGATTGCTCGCAGATTGCGCTGGAGGCCTTCTGCAAGACAAGCCGCTGGGCCAAGTCAGCGCGACGAGTGCCGCGCTACCTTGCCGAGGCCACCGCGGCATGGAAGGGACGGGATCGTCGCGCCACAACGCTGCTGGGCTGCTGTCTGCGTCGCGAGACGAAGAAGACTTGCTTCTGACACTGCGACCTGCGCCCGAATTGGATCGCCGTCGCGTGGTCTTTGGGCACCTGCTGAAAGGCCACAGCCTGTTGCCGCGGATTGCCAGCTGCGGCGGCGGCGTGCGTGAGGCGCGCGTGGTTGCTTGTGGGGAACGGCTGACGCGTGGCGGGGACCGAAGCGGCGTCCGGGATTCTCGGCGCTCACGCAGCAGCGCAGGCCGTTCGCACATGCGCAGTCGGAGTCGGAGACGGCGCAGCGGCGAGCGCTCGAGCAGCGGCCGCGACGTTCGGCGCCGGCGGCGGTGAGTGATTTCAGGCGAGACACGGAAAACAGTGCGACTGTGGGTGTGTTTGGTGCAAGTTGGGGCTCCACTCAGGGGAGGGCCGTTTGAGACACTGGGAGTTGGCCTTCGGGGGGACCTCTCGTCACCACCAGCTCGAACAATGGATGCGTTTGGACCCCGTGGAGGGGGTCCAGGGACCGATTTTGAGCCGTTTTTCCACAACGTCGGTGTCCAAAGGCCTGGACCACTTCCCCGGGGCCAGTTTTTCATCCTGAATCGTGTTTTGACGCTCCTGAGGCCCGTTGAGGGCCTCTGGAGGCTGAAAACCATCGAACACCTCCCGTCGTGATTTTTTCACGACGCGAGGGGTCTGGGGTCGCCCTGCTCCGATCCACTTCAATCGGTGACTGCCGAGGCGGTCCAGACTCTAGACACATTAGTTGTTGCTGTCGCGTCGTGTAGACCACGGGGCCCCAGAAGGGCGATGGATCCTTGAGATTCTGGCGACAAACGCAGCGGGCGGGCTTTCGACGTTTTCGGCCGCCGTAGGCTGTCTCCTGGCCCCGGGATCGTCGAAGAAGGGTCCAGATCTCTCTAGGAGCCGAGGTAGTGAAAACGAACGGCGTTGGAGGTCTGGGATGGGAAGGGGGACGGATGAATGGTTCATGTTTCCTGTCCTTGCGGGGCCCACGCGGGCTCGTCTAAGGTCTCTCCAGAGTCTGTTTGGTGCAACCTTCGGCGGCCCCCCCAATTTCCCCCCGCCCCCCTCCTCCTCTTCCTTGTCTTCCTCTTCTTCCTCCTCCTCCTCATCCTCCTCCTCCTCCCCCATCCTCTTCCTCCTCCTCCTCCTCCTCCTCCTCCTCTCTCTCCTTGTCCTCCATCTTCTTCTCGTCTTTCTCGCCTCCCCCCCCTCGTCGTCCTCCTCCTCCTCCTCCTCCTCCTCCTTGTCCTCCTCCTTTTCCCCTTCCCTCCTCCCTCCTCCTCCTCCTCCTCCTTCCTCCTCTCCTCCTCCCTCCTTCCTCCTCCTCCTCCTCTTCCTCCTCCTTCTCCTCCTCCTTGTCCTCCTCCCTCCCTTCCCCCCTCCCCTTCTTCCTTTCTTCCTCCTCGTCCTCTTCGTCCCCGTCGCCTTAGGGCGGGTTGCCTTTCATTTCGGCCCCCGCGGGGCTTTGCCGAGTTCCACGGCGACGAGCCTCCTCTTTCTCCTCTCTGTCCGCCCCCCTCCTTGCCCTCCTCCCTCCTGCTTCCTCCCCGCTTCTCCTCCCGCTCCCCCTTCCTGCTCCTCCTCCTCCTCCTCCTCCTCCTCCTCCTCCTCCTCCTCGGTGGGGGGGCGCCACGGGCGCCCCCCCCACCTCAAGAGACGTCCCAAGAGACGTCTTCCTCCTCCTCCTTCTCCTCCTCCCTCAGCGTAGGGCCCCCTCTGCCCCAGAGTGGACGTCGCGCGGGAGAACGGTAAACCGTCTCGACGGTGTAGGTCCTCGGATTCCAGGCCTCTCTGACAGGGTCCGAGCAGAGGGGGGCCGGAGGTTTCTCCACGCCGGCTGCGCCGATGTACTCTCGCCGACGTCGCCGGTGCGTCGCCTGTGCATTCGCGCGGCGATGCGGCGCGACCCTCCGACCCCCTCTGGGAGGGCTCCATGGAGGTGCTCCAGCGAGGACGTCTCGCCGAGAGGTTGCTGGGGTCACCGCCATCGTCCCAGCGGCACGCTGCGGCCCAAATGCAGACAACGAACGGCCTTCTGATCACTGTGGCGCGTCGCTATCGGATTCCATTTCCCCCTGCGGAGCTTTGTTTCGGAATTCGGAAGCACCGCGGCAGGATAGGCCAGGCTACAAGGACTGGCATCCAGCCTGTAAATTCTCAGGGTTCGCACTGATTCCGACCACGAGCCGGAAGACGGCTGCCATCCAATGTGCCTGGAAGCATTGTTTTTCCCGAGTGTTTCAGAGGGCGTTGGGACCCAGGAGGGGTCAGGGGTCAACGTTAGGGGAGATGGGCTCACGGTTGGGTTACATCGTCCCCAAATGGCCGGCCCATTGATCACCGCTACGGTCGACCCGCGTAGGAAGGGCGATCGCCTTCCCAAGAGTACCCTTGCATCCTTGCCCTTTTGGTCACCTTTGGCCCCTCCTGAATCCTCAACCGCTTCGGATGGCCCGCCCCGCTCGAAGAGCCTCGGCGTGGGCGTCCAGGGCCCCTGCATGCTTCTCGCGCACCCTTGCTATGCGGTCCGGCTGCAGGGGCCCGATCGCCCACCCCCTCTCTGGGAGCGCTCGGTGTCGCTCTCGGGGGCTTATATAAGCCCCCGATTAAGCGGCAGCGTGCTGCCGATTCCAGCTGCATGCTCCCCGCGGAGCTGGTCCCCCCTAACGTTATGTCGGGCGTGTCCCCCTACGTGGGGATTTTCAATGAAAAAGAAAAAGTACACCACAAATGCTCAAAAAAAAAGCCAACAAATACCTAACAAAATAGTCCCCAGACTTCTTTTGGAGTATTTGTTTTACCATGTTGGGGCTATTTTTCTATGTTTCGTCGAAAATCTCCCTGTAGGGGGACAGGGCCGACTTAACCCTAACGTTCCTCTTCAAGAGGGGGATGGCCTGGAGATGGTACGGGAGCCAAAGAACGCATGCGTGCTCCTGCACCCGGACGCCCTCCGCCTGCCGGAGCATACCCGCGGGCTGCGCAACCTTTGAGCCTGAGATCCCGACGCTGCGAAACAGCATGCAACATCGCGAGTCCTCTCGGCCAGAGCCCCGGACCCCGTTTTCCCACGGCATTCTTCCAGCCGGATCGATTTGTGAGGGCTCCTTGGCCCGAAGAGAGGCCAACCCGCCAGTTGTGAGCACAAATGTGAGCCAAGGACAGCGCCGTGTCGGACACCGTGGAGATCCACCGCTCGGCCACAGGGTCCTGCAGCGCCTTTTTGAAGGCCGCGCGACTCGGGCAGCATGCGGTGGCGCCGAAGGAGGAGGCTCGCGGGAAGGATCAGCAACACCGCCACCACCAGGGGGGTCACCTCCAGCGAGGAAGTCCACGATGCCCCGAGCTGGGGATAGGTTTAGGGGATGTCTCGAGCGAGAGGGGGGACCACACCACCAGGGGACCCACCCTGGCTCCTCCCGCGGTCCCTGGTGGTGGTGCTGCTGCTTTTCCTTGTCCTTGGAGGCCAGCCCGACTGCGCGGACGAGCAAGCTTACCTTGTTGCAGATGTTCCGGGACATTGACTGCACTGGCTGCGGCGTTGTCACGCAGCGCCAACTGGTCGTGGCCTTGCAGAAGCGCCCCGAGTACGCCAGCGCCTTTTTTCAACGCTCTGGCGGTCGGGGCTTCAAAGCGTCACAGGCATACCCAGTGGTCCTTGAAAGCAGGTATGTTTTGGATCCTCAGGTCCCGATTGACTTTAGTAGACTCATTCCTATTCTAGGCTCATTCCTATTCCAAGTGTCGAGCGGTTTTCCCCCTCCCCTTCTCTTCTGGGGACGGGCGGAACCCTAATCCACTTCCAACGCTTTCCATCTTCACGCTTCTACCCACTTCTTCCAACCATTGTGTACACGCTCACCTCCCCCTATGCTTTGACCCCGTCCAGGATGAGGCATCATGCGAACTCTCCCAAGATGATTCGGCGAAGCTGTGTGCCTAAGCAACGGGGCTTCCTTCGGCCGGGGCCTCGGCCGAGCTGGATCGTTCCAGAGCGTCCCGGCACGCTCTCAGAGCAACCGGGAGTGCTACGGACTGTCCGCGGCGCCCGATGCATCCTCCAGAGGCGCCGGATCTCAGCAGCGTATCCCCGATGTGCGCTGGCCTGGCTTCGCCTTAGCTCTCCTCTCCAGAGGTGGGTCGCCACAGCGAGAGGGTGCCCAGCGCATCCGGGAGATCCTCGACCAGGTGGACACGGGCACCGACGGCAGTCAGGGGCAACGTTAGTCAGGAGGAGAAAACACACACAGACACAATTAATCGTCGACTACCCCGAAAATATAGGAAAATATGCGCAGTGAGGGGGAGGACAGAAACCCAGAAAATATGGGAAAATATGGGTGATCCTTTTATTTGTGTGTATTTATTGTGTGTTTGTGGGCCCCTTCAGTTAGGTGTTGGAGGCCTGGAAATGGGCATCAACACCAACGCAGGGGGTCGCCTCCACAGGGGGAAGATGGTCCTGGATTTCGGTGTCGGTGGTAATAGCTCGGTCGCAACTGGAACCCAGAAAATATTACCACCAGCACCGCGATCGGAACCTTCTACCCTCGGTGGAGGCACGCCGCCGATGTTGGGTGTTGGTGTCAACCTCTAGGCCTGCGAAGGGGGGTGGAGCCGGCTCGGGGGGGGGGGGGAAGCAGCGAGCTGGAGACCCTGCGACACATCGCCGACAGGCCCGCGTGGGACCCTCGACGGCAAGGCCGCACGCTCCCGGGCGGGGCGGGCCATCGGGCCCCATCGGCGAGGTGTCGCCGCCGATGCCATCTCGGTGCTTCCCCCTCTCGAGCCTGGCGGCGCGGCGGCAGACACTGCAGCGTCGTGGAGAAGCGCGCCGGGGCTCCGGGCCCCGTCTTTCTGCGCCGTCTTCCTGAAGCGCATCGAGCTGGGAGGGTCCCTGGCGCCGAGCTCGGGCGGGAGAGCCCGTCGCGACGCTGGAATGCGAGGCCAGGGTCTCGGTGCCAGTTTGAAGCGTATCCCTATCCCTGCGTTTGGCATCACCTCACCTCGATGCCGATCTTCAGGATTCCTTTGGTGTCTGAGGGCACCTGCCCAAGATCCTCCTCGCTGTCTGCTCGCCCATCTCAGGGATGGGGATCAGTTCGGGGCCGGTCATATCAGAGAGGAGTCTCTCCCCTCCCCCCCCCCTGACGTCGCCCGTCAGGCAGCGGCGACAGGGGCCTCAACTGGGACGCGTTCGTGGACTTCTTTCGGCGGGCCGGGCTGTTCCTGCAGTACCACCAGGACCGGCCCCCGGAGCAGGGGCGTCCCGCGCAAGCGGGGGTCCGCCAGCGCGCCAGGCCCTGCAGGATCCTGCGGGGCCAGGGGCGCACTGGCCCGGGGCTGGGGCGCAGGATCCTGCAGGATTCTGCAGGATCCTGCAGGGCCAGGGTCGCATACACGCCGGTCGTTGAGAAAGTAGGTCTTTTGGGATTCCCAGATCCCAGTCTACTTCAAGCGAGTTCCTACTTCAAGAATCGGCACGGTTTTGCTGTGCTTTGTTGTTCTCTGGGGGGGCCTGGACCCAATCAACTGAATCCGACTTCCTACTTCATGTTTTCATCTGCTTCTTCCGACCGGCGTGTATTGACCCTGGCTTGGGTGCAGGCAGGCTCTTGGAGGATCCTGGAGGGTCTGGCAAGGCCCGACTGACCCGGGTCTGAATTGACCCGGGTCAGCAGATCCCCTGGTGGACCTAAATGTCGGAGGTGTATAGACCTCCTACCCTGACACGTCGATTAAGGAATTGTTGACGCTTCGCGAATCCCCACCAGCCCATTTAGAAACGATGCCCAGAGGAATTGCCTCGATCAGGGAAGTGGGCAGCACACAGAGGAATCCATTATGAGACATATTGGGATATCTTGAGCCATCTTGGTGGCCATTTGGCGCTCTTGGAGTCATCTTAATCAGTGCCCCCCCAAGAGGCCGACATGTGGCCAAAACCTTCGTACAATCAATGATTGGCATTCTCGCCGAGGCCTCTTGGAGCATCTTGGGTGCCCCTTGGGGGTCTCTTGGGGCCTCTTGGGGGTCTCTTGGGGGCCTCTTGGGGGCATCCTGTGGGCCTCGTGGGGCCTTCTGGCCACCTCTTGGGGCCCTCTTGGGGCACCCTTGGGAGCCTTGGGGGCCATCTTTGGGCCATCTCGGAGGAGATCGATCAAAGAAGGGGGGCTTACGGATTACAGTCGCCCTCCCAGAAGGCTAAAATCAATGATTTTGGCTTCCTCGCCTCGCGAAACCCCTTGTCCAGGTCCAGGGGAGGGGGGTAGGGTGAAGGGTAAACCCCTCCCCGAAGGGGAAGAAGGAAGGGTGGAAGAGGAAACGACCTAAACCACCGACGCCCCGAGGGCTGGCGGGATTGGCCGTTTTCGGTTCGCGAGAGGGCGCCGCGGCCGTCATTTTTGAAGGGTCCAGGTCTGTCGGTTTCAGTCCCAGGACGTTTTCACTCAGGGGCGGTTTACTAAAGGGAGGTGTGTCCACCGCCGAAAATGGTGTTTTGGCGCCTCTGTTGGACGTTTTTGCTTCGATGCAGTCGAGAGTGCCGCAATTGTGAATATCTTCTTCGGTCGCGCTCCCCCTGGGGCCACAGAGCCCTGCGAGGGGTGTGCCGACACGGGTGCGGCGGACGGATGTGGACGGTGGCATTGGGTCCTTCGGTGGAGCTCCCTATGAGGTCACGAAGCGTGTGAGGGGTGTGCCGAAATGGGTGTGGGAAACGCAAGTGGACGGTCGCACTGGGGCCTTCGGCAGAGTTCCCTATGAGGTCACGAAGCGTGTGAGGGGTGTGCCGAAATGGGTATGGGAGACGCAAGTGGCTTCGGTGGAGCTCCCTATGAGGTCACGAAGCGTGAGATGGGTGTGCCGAAATGGGTGTGGGAGACGCAACTGGACGGTTGCACTGGGGCCTTCGGTGGAGCTCCCTATGAGGTCACGAAGCGTGTGAGGGGTGTGCCGAAATGGGTGTGGGAGACGCAAGTGGACGGTGGCACTGGGGCCTTCGGTGGAGCTCCCTATGAGGTCACGAAGCATGTGAGGGGGGTGCCGAAATGGGTGTGGGGACGCACGAGAACGGTGGCATTGGGGCCTTCGGTGGGGCTCCCTGTGGGGCCACGGAACGTGTGAGGGGTGTGCCGAAATGGGTGTGGGGAGGCATGCGGGTGCAGCCTTTGGGGCATTCGGTGGAGCTCCCTATGGGGCCACGGAACGTGTGAAGTGTGTGCCGACATGGGTGGTGTGGCGGCATGCGGGCGCAGCCACTGGGGCCTTCGGTGGAGCTCCCTATGGGGCCTGGGGCCGCGGAGCGCGTGAGGAGTGTGCCGAAATGGGTGGTGGGGAATGCATGCGGGCGCAGCGAATGGGGCCTTCGGTGGGGCTCCCTGTGGGGCCACGAAGCGTGTGAGCGGGGTGCCGAAATGGGTGGTGGGGAGGCATGCGGGCGCAGCCACTGGGGCCTTCGGTGGAGCTCCCTATGGGGCCACGAAGCGTGTGAGGGGTGTGCCGAAATGGGTCTGAGGGAGGCATGTTGGCGCAGCCACGAGGGCCTTCGGTGGGGCTGCCTATGAGGTCACGGAACGTGTGAGCGGGGTGCCGAAAGGGGTGTGGGGGAGGTTTGCGGGCGTAGCCATTGGGGCTTTCGGTGGAGCTCTCTTTGGGGCCACGAAACGTGTGAGGGGTGTGCTGGGTGGTGGGGGGGCATGCGTGCGCAGCCACTGGGGCCTTCGGTAGGGCTCCCCGTGGGGCCACGGAACGTGTGAGGGGTGTGCCGAAATGGGTGGTGGGGAGGCATGCGTGCGCAGCGAATGGGGCATTCGGTGGAGCTACATATGGGGGCCACGAAAAGTATGAGGGGGGTGCCGGAATCAGTGGTGGGGGAGGCAGGCGGGCGCAGCGAATGGGGCCTTCGGTGGGGCTCCCTATGGGGCTACGAAACGTGTGAGGGGTGTGCCGGGATCTGGAGGTGGGGGAGGCATGCGGGCGCAGCCATTGGGGCCTTCGGTGGGGCTCCCTAGGGGCCACGAAGCGTGTGAGGGATGTGCCGAAGTTGGTGGTAGGGGATGGACGTTGGCGCAGCCACGAGGGCCTTCGGTGGGGCTCCCTATGGGGCCACGAAGCGTGTGAGGAGTGTGCCGAAATGGGAGTGGGGGAGGCATGCGTGCGCAGCCACTGGGGCCTTCGGTGGAGCTCCCTATGGGGCCACGAAGCGTGTCAGGGGTGTGCCGAAATGAGAGTGAGGGAGGCATGCGGGAGCAGCTACTGGGGCCTTCGGTCGGGCTCCCTACGGGGACACGAAGCGTGTGAGGGGTGTGCCGAAGCTGATGACGAGATTGGTGATGATGACTCCGATGATGGTGATGATGTCGCAGATGGCCATGATGCTGCTGATGCTGCTGATGCTGCTGATGCTGATGCTGATGCTGATGATGATGATGATGATGATGATGATGATGATGATGATGATGATGATGATGATGCTGATGATGATGCTGATGCTGATGCTGATGCTGATGATGATGGTGATGATGATGCTGATGCTGATGCTGATGCTGATGCTGCTGCTGATGATGATGCTGTTGATGTTGCTGCTGATGCCGCTGATGGTGATGACACTGATGAGGATGATGCTGTTAATGATGATGATGATGATGATGATGATGCTGCTGACGATGATGATAACGATAACGATGACGATGACGATGATGCTGCTGATGATGATGATGACGATGACGATAACGATGACGATTAGCAGGATTATGCTGCTACTGATGACGATGCGGATGCTGATGCTGATGACGATGACGATAACGATGACGATCATGATGATGATGCTGATGACGATGGTGATGATGATGCTGATGATGATGTTGATGGTTATGCTGATGATACTGATGATGATGATTCTGATGTTGCTGCTGGTGATGATGATGCTGCTGCAGCTGATGATGATGATAATGGAGACGATGATGAAGATGGTGATGATGCCGATGCTGATGATGATGATGACGACGATGATGATGACGATGCTGCTGATGATGATGATGCTGATGATGATGATGATGATGATGATGATTGATGATGAGTGATGGTTCTGATGAATGATGGTGAATGATGGTGATGATGATGATGATGACGATGATGATGATGATGATGATGAGGATGATGATGATGATGATGATGCTGATGATGATGATGATGATGATGATGATGCTGATGCTGATGCGTATGATGATGATGATGATGATGATGCTGATGATGATGATGATGATGATGATGATGATGATGAGTGATGATGGTGATGCTGATGATGATGATGATGATTGAGGATGATGGTGATGATGCTGCTGCTGCTGATGATGATGATGATGAGTGATGATGGTGGTGATGATGATGATGATGGTGATGGTGATGGTGATGGTGATGGTGATGGTGAGGAAGGCCGAGAACACGCGGCGTTGTCTCTCCGTTGGCCGTTTTTGCTTCGATGCCGTTTTTGTTGTTGTTGTTGTTGTTGTTGTTATTCTTGTTGTTGTTTTTGTTTTTGTTGTTTTTTTGTTGTTTTTGTTTTTGTTGTTGTTTGTTTGTTTGTTTGTTTGTTTGTTTGTTTTTTTGTTTGTTTGTTTGTTGTTGTTGTTTAGCAGCAACCAACTTGAGACGAAACGAGGGACGCCGAAAGCAGCAAACGAGCACGAAGAAACACCGTCTACGTCGAGCCCCGCCGCGGAGTTCCCGAGCGGCAGCCCTCGGGGGGCCTCCGCGGGGGGGGCCTCGAGGTCGGCCGGCGGTGCTCCGAGGTGCGCTGCGCCGTGTGGTGGGATCTCGGACGGGCTCGGGGTGGGCCCGGCCCGCGAGCCGTCCAGGGGGTCTGAGATCGGGGGCGGAAAAGAGGGGGGTGATGACTATCAGAGGCCAGCAACATATGTGCACGTACGCGGTTAGCTTCCCCTGGAGTGCGTGTCAACGCGGACGTTCGTGCGGGCAAGACCGCGGAGGGCGTACATGTACATATGTTGTTGCTCGCCCAGACTAGGGGGGGTGGAGATCATGGCGTGGGCCATGATGTTTCCTCAGATATCATGGCGCCTCCTCTTATTTCCTTATGTCCCTGGCCCCCCGCTGGGCCGCGCACGTGCAGCCAGTCATGATTTGCACCACCCCCTCTTGGACACCCCCCTCTTGGCCGATCCAGCCAGCAGGTGGGGCGGGCAGGTTCACAGGTTCTCGGTTCGGATCGTTTCGTTGGTGTTGTTGTTGTTGCTGCTGCTGCTGTTGTTGCTGTTGTTGTTGCTTTCGTAATTGTTGTTGTCGCTGTTG